CTCTCAGTCTTCTGCTCCAAAGTCCAGGCTGCACAATTATATAAAAAATGCCTAGAACCGTTAAGACTTGCACTTTTTCATCAAGTATAAACTTCTTTTTAAATGTCTTCTACATGCCTACTAGAAACGGTAAACAACCCTGGCGAAACTATGAAGAGGTTTTGAAATACTCTAGGAAGTTTTCAAACATGTCTCGAATCTCATTCTCCTATCACCCACCAGGTATGTTCAGAAACAAAACCTGAGGCATTATTTATTTAAATAAATATCCACAGCCTGAAAACAGCAGGACTTCTTGAAAAAAGTTCCCTTGCCCTACTGCTCCAGGTGAAATACCCTGGGAGCTGGCTAGCATCCCAGGCAGACAAGCCTGGCGCCTGATGCAGTGGGAAGCAGCATACAAAAAGACCATGCTGAGACCCCGTGACTTTTACTCCTGTAGAAGTGCACAAAGAACAGAACTGGTCAAGCCCCCCATTGCCCAAAACCTGCATGACAGATGACTCTGGAAGCAGGAAGAAAGATATCTTATGGGATCCACAGCAACTACGTCACCTTGAAGAATGGCTACCACAGTTTAAAAAAAAGGCCTTTCTCCAACCGTTTGGCAAAGTGCAGTCTGCTTATGCGTCTCCCTCTTCTCAGGATAAGGAAATGTAGAAGATTCAATTGGCATTTGATCCAGCAAGCCAATCCAGCACACAATGTTTGACAAATGTCAACCAACTGCTCCACAGAGCTGGCTTCTGCATCTCTGGTACTATGCCACTGCAGACCCAAGGCAGAGGGTAGCTTCTGCTCTGGTAAAAGTGATCCTTGCCAACCGGTCCACGTCCATCCACTGCAACTGTTGGTGGAACAGAATACTTTCAGCACTCAGAGCTGTTGGTTGCTGTCAAGAGAAACTTTGGGGGAAACTTTCTAAATTATTTACCCTGCAAGTTAAACAGTATCCACATAAAGCACCAGCCTTGGGAGGAAAAAACAACATAGGAAAGCACTCTGGCTTAAATCAGAACTCAGAAACCACAGCAGAACAGAAAGAGACCACAAACAAACTTCAAAACAGGACACAAAATTTTCTGTTGATCCTGGGTCCAATCCATCCCCAGCCTATCAGACTCTGAGGTCCCATACTGGTTGTCTTCCCCAGCACTTCTCTGCTTGCGTCTAAACCCAAGATGCGACAACTGCTAGCTCTGAAACAATTGCCTTGGGACCTTGTCTTACAAGGAAAGACGGACTTACATTAGGACTGCTGACACTTACAACACCCATCACCTCTACCTCATCGTGGCTGCAGGAATCACTGATCATGAAGCAGTTCCAGACCCTCCACAGCACAGCCTATTTAAAGTAAACCAGCATCGATTTCTGCTTGACTGGGCTGCAAACTGCTGCAAGCAATTCCTGAACCCTCACAGCTCAAGCATGGGACAGACCGGAATCTTGTCAGCCATCCCAGTATGGGCTGTTTGTAATATTGAGTCAGAACCTACAGAAAACCAGCTGAACTTGGCCTCCACTACCCCCTTCGCTTCAGTCAGCTACACCTCACAAGTCTGGCTTCAAATCGCTGCAGTCCCACATGTGGACAAGAGGGGATAAAATACGAAGCATTTACAGGCATCATGCTCTGCCCTAAAGCAGAAGTTTAAAAAAGGAAGATATGTACCATTTATATAATTATGCATTTAATGTTACTGTTTCACTTTTTTAAACAAATTTAGCACAGAAAGGAAGAGACATTTTCAGCATTCACTGCTTAGAGAAGCAGTAGTATGTTTTAGGATGACCAGCCCTCCTCCCCAAAGCTCTGTCATGCTTGCTAACAGAGAATCAATCTCACAACAGCAGAAAACATCCACTTCCACTCCAAACCATAGAATCACAGAATCATTAAGGTTGGAAAAGACTTCTAAGATCATCAAGTCCAACGGTCAACCGATCACCATCATGCCTGCTAAACTATGCCCCAAAATGCCATATCTACACGTTTTTTGAACGCCTCCAGGGATGGTGCCTCCACTGCTTCCCTGGGCGGCCTGTTCCAATGCCTGACCACTCTTTCAGTAAAGCAACTTTTCCTAATATCCAAGCTGAACCTCCCCTGATGCAACCTGGGGCCATGCTCAAATGCTTCAGGAGATAACTCCCTAAAAGAAAAAAAAAAAAGAAAGAAAAAACCAATGGTTTGGGCATTTTCTTAAGTCTAAACATATAAACATATAAACTCTCATTTTCATTCCATGATCTGACGCAAATTCTAAAGCACTGTAACCAAAATTTGTCTCTGGGCAGCTCAGAAGGGATCAAAATTTGGAAGCCAAGTTTTACAGTCTGATGAAAAAGAAAAGCAGCACATTGCTTTCAAGAAAAAACATCTTATACGTGAAACAAGACATTACTACCACTTTGTGCAACAATAAGAATCCAGCCATGAGGGATGTGTGCCACTGACCTGCGTCATGTCGTAAGAGTAACAGATCCAGTGCAAGGAAGGACCTTCAATGTTGCAATACATTACTACCACTTTGTGCAACAATGAGAATCCAGCCGTGAGGGATGTGTGCCACTGACCTGTGTCATGTCTTAAGAGTAACAGATTCAGTGCAAGGAAGGACCTTCAATGTTGCAACAGGAAACAAATAGTAAACACAGATCTACTAAGTATATAGTGCTACAACAAACAGATCCTGTATTTAAATCGACAGTTAAAGACAGCTCATCCCTAAAAATACATACAGTAATTGGAATTTTTCTGTTTTTCAAAAAAACCAATAAATTCCAAACTACTCATAAGGAGACTAACATACCAGCAGCCCCTTCTCTATGCACTGTGGAGGTGGACACTTAAATTTTCTGACCATCAATGCTCTATTGCAGTAAAGCTCTCCATATCATGCAGTATCAGAGGGGCTGCCAGATGTTTTCTGCAGGATCTTCTGGAATTTCTCAGGTGGGGTTACAGTCTCCTTGAGTCAGCATGTGGGTCACCATGTGCTAGTACTTGGTCCACTTTTATCAAAACAGCAAATTTATGTATTTGTATTAGTCATGGAGACTGACCAAAGATATTGCTCTATGTACTGAAACTATGTTTCATTAACAACGTATTGCAAGTATTCCCTTAAATATGTGCACATCCATTTCATTAAAAGCTCAAGTTCAGAATCAAGAGTTTCCATAGTTTAAGGTTAAGCTAGTCAGGAAGTACAGTTTGGAGAAGATTAAAAATTTACAGCTACGGTTAATTTGAAAGCAGCTTACCAAGCACTTGTAGACTCTAATATAATTTTGCAGGTAGTGTGTTGTTTGGGGGTTGAAGGGAAAAAATTGGTTTTGGCATTACAACTTTGGCTTGGGTTTTCTTATTCTCCAAACTCCATCTGGTTTCCAAAATAGTGTTACATGGTGACAGAAGAGAGTTTTGTCTTTGCTTTGGAGACGGTCCTTGTTCCAGGTTTGAACTAACTACCACACTGGAGCTGGCAGAACTTAAAATACCAGGCTACCTGTGTGTCCTAAATTACTTGGTTCCTGCTAGCCTGTATGGCAGTTCTCATTACATAAAAGTTTCTGCCTATGTTTTAGTACTGGCACTAACCTTCATGATGGCTGCTTGCTGTAGCTTAAGTGCTTTTTAAGGCACCCCTCAAACATCTTTATCTCCTGGAATCCCTCTTGAACAAATATTATCTTATAATCAAGCAGAAAATAATTTCCTCTTTTGATGAAATGCGATTTACTCTCTTACATGCCTAGCTCCTCATCTCTAAATAAAGCACATATTTGTTAGCAATTCAGTTTCATACTTTAGCTGAAGTTCCTCTAGCACATTCACCTTCCACGCCATTCATAACCAACCATACAGCATCAACAGCAGCGCCATGAAGAGCCTAACAGGCAAAACAAGCTGCCATCAGACCCACTGGCACGTACCCATAAGAGGCTGAAAAATCAATTCAGAGCCACAGGTCCCTGTATTCCATGCAGATGAGTTTAAACACACAAAAAAATAACATAAAACCAGAAAGTTCCTTTCCCCTTCTCTCCCCCCACCCCCTTTTTTTAGTGTTGTCCATCATATGCAAAAGACACATTCTAAATCTAAAGTAATCCTCTGGTTTGGTGGTTTGTTTGGGGTTTTTTTTGTTTGGTGGTTGTTTTTTTTTACACACTATGCAAAAAAAAATAAAAATAGATCAGTAGGAGTGTACTCTTACATTAAAACATGATGCAAGACAACAACAACAAAGAATCTTATCCTATACTATGGATATGTGTTCTTCCTTGCCTTCTAAGAGCAACTGATTACATTGGTGTGTATTAGTACATATTAGATTTACACACAACTTCACTTTACCTAGCAAACGTTACCACTCCTATCAACCAGGTGATAAGCAGCCATGTGGCACAGAGCCCATCCGTCAACACACACTAACCCGCACTCAGCACCACCTTCCTGCTTAGTCCTCAGTAAATGACGGCCCTCTGGAACAACCCATGATTAACTGGTCTGAAGCACAACATAGTTTATCTTTTCTTAAACAAACCGGCCGCTTGTAATTATCCAATTCAACTGTTAAAAACTTCCTAATGTGAGGGCAAAAATAAGAAGTTCCAACACTCAACCCTCTCACAGCAGTTTTCTAACCCTACTGCTCTGATGCAATGTAAAATAGGAATTGCAGCAGTGTTTTGCCTACTTTCATGGAAGGATTCAATCACATTCAGTTGCTTAATTGCACTACAAAATTGAGATTTTTTTTTTTTCTGAGATAGTCTGATTGGAAAGGTCTCCAGATTGCACAGGTTCCTATATGGCACACAACATTATTTATATTCTTACACGTATTTTCCTACTTCTGGAAGAAAAAAAATAAAAAACAACAAAAATGTAAATACAGAAAGAATGCTTAAACAACATGTAAGCATGGCCATTTTTAAACACACCTATAGACCACTACATACAGAAAATAAAAGGGGAGGACACTTACAGAATTGTAGACTGAGGCTCAAAAAGGCTAATAAGGCTGCCAGAGCCAGCAAGAACAGAAAACGGTTTCGGAAAAGCATTATTATTCGTTCTGCTTTCTCTTCATGGTTTCATCTTCACATATCAATGGTTCCTGCAAACAATAAAACATTGCCAAATGTATTTCAGATGTGGAAGCATCAGCTATAGCAAAGAAAATTCAAATATCCTTTTGACAGTGTCAAGTTATTTCTTAAAGGCAAGAACACGAGGCAATTCAAATTAGCAACAATGGTATCAATAAGTTATCTTCGCCCTAGTTATGAGATTAAATATATTTCCACAAGACAGAACTTTCAAGTAAATAAAAAAAATTGCTATTTCCCATAAAATTAACCTCTCTCCTGCTAACATAGGGTTAATATGTTATAACATTGTCATCTGCTATTTGACAAAAGCCTCTTGCCCCTGTGCAACACAAATCACAACAATAATATTACTACTTAAGGGCCCTCAAAAGCAATTTGGTAAATCAACTCCAGAAACAAAATAATATCGTAACATCTTAAAACGGTACACATGCACACACTTATAAATGCAGGTTAAAAATTAGTTTATCTAACTGATAACCTTTTTACTGATACAAAGTTCACAATTCCTATTTAAAAATAGAGTAAGAAAAATTACCAATACCACTATGCAGAGAATGGAAAAGTATATTGATTTAAGATTAACACCTAGAATAACTCTGTGTAACAATATTTTTAAACAACTATTTTGACAAGGATCAGAACAATATATTTCAAATCAATAATATAAAGTAGAACTTCAAAACTCAAATAACTAGTTGCAGAAGTTAAAAAATAGACAAAAAACCCCAGCCCTCTCCTGAAAATACCCAAACAAGAAGCATACACTGTTAGCAAAAAAACACACTTTCTCCTTGCAAAATGACATCCCAAAGTGCACAGAGTTTGCTGCAGTGCCCTGTTTTCACAGATGTCCCTTTTCCATTGGAAAATGGCTCTATATAAGGGATGGGGTGTTGTTCTCACATGCACTTTTTTTTTTTTAAAACAGCCAGCTGTGCTTATGTGTAAGTGGTGCCTTTTCCTAGCACTGACAGCACGCTGCAGGAAATTGGTTAGTCTTGAAAGAAATCTCCTAAGATTCCCAGATCCTTTGAACTGAGCTCTGTTTACGACAGCACATCCAAACATGTTGACAGAAAATAACTTTTTTCCCCCAGCAATGTTTCTTCTTGCCCCCGCACTTACTTGCTTACAGAGAGCTCTCTTGCTTCTTTCCTGCTTTTGAGAGTAAAAAGGCTTACAATTACATGTAATTAATACATACACCTGTTTACCTTCTTAACCCTCTTCTGTGCTCCAAAAACTAACCATCTGAGCAAGATTTTAATCTCTCAATGCCTCAGGAATCACTGATTTTCTTATTTTATCTACTGTGGTTAGTCTTAAGAACAGTTGTGGGATCTACAAGTTGGCCCAAGGTGACTTCCATAGTACAAAGCAATGGGACCCAGAGCGTAAGTGGTGATCTTCCAGAAATGAAGGCAGTGGGGCTTGCAGTAATAGAACTGTATTATGCATGTACATTTTGCAGAACTGAGGTCTTCCCATCCCATTTTGCTTGGAGAGCTACCTTTACAGCATTTGGAAACGGTGGAAAAACGGAAAGAACTGGAGATTCTGACACACAAGAAACTGGAGCTATTACAGTATTTTTCCAAAATGGCAATAGCACCATAAATGGCATGTGCAAGCAGTAATAAAAATAAAGTTAAAAAAAAGAGAGAGAGAGACAGAAGGAATGATTTTAACAGTCTCAGTTTCACAAAATCACAGCTCATCCTGGAACATCTTGGTGAAAGGTATGCTGAAATTAAACTGAACTAAACCACTGAAACTAAACAAAGCTGTGAAGGGTAGAAGGCATAAAGAATAGTGTATACAAAACACCAGGAGAGAATAAAGAAGTTAAAGCAAACAGATGGAAGAACAGAAGGGGAACCACAGGAAAAAAGCAGAATTAGACTTAGCAAGGAGGAGAAGGTAAAATCTATTAAAAAGCTCTCAGGAACAAGAGGTCTTGTGCACGGTCTAGAGCCATTAATACTGTTGCTGCATAAAAAAAAGTTGCCACAAAAAAAGGAAAATTGGCAAGACTGGAAAAAAGGAGATCATGCACACCTCATACTAGGAAAATGTTCTAGAGGAAAAGCTTAATTAGCTTTAAACCTGGATTGCAAGATCAGAAATTTTAAGACATTTAGTTTTAAATGCAATATTCAAGAAATTATAAACAAGGTGGAAAGGTTTTTCTTTTAAATATACTTTGGCCTGTTAACAAATTAAAAGTTGCTGTATTACAACTTAGAAGGAACAGCTCCTGCTGAGTAACTGTTCAACAAGAACCTGTCAATATAATCAGTCACCAGCCCCTACCTGGTATCAAGCTGCTGGGAATCAGGTGAACGTACGTAAGACCGAGCGAGTACCGCAGCCTCTGCTCACCCGTGTGGGCACATGAGGCGCTCCCAGGGAAAAGCATCACTTAGCCAGCACATATTAAGCAAAGACAGTGTAATAAGCATTGTGAGCACTCAGTGAGGTGAGCATTTGTAAGCTAAAAAAAGATAAAACTGAGCTGGGGGCAGGGGGGGGGGCAGGGAATAAAAGGCTAACCAACCTTATCTCCCCACAAAACTATTTTTATATGCAGACGGATCAAAAAACAAACTGCATAGCAAAACACATTTTGGGTCTTCCGAATACACTACCACATAGCAAGAGCCTGCAGCGTTAGAGAATATTGATCTTTATCTATTTACCCTGTGCACAGGCCACAGTGCAGGCCACGCCCCAGCCTCACCATCGCCACGCTGCAAGCTCTCAGTACTCAAAGGTCAATTCTATCAACAACTGACAACACTGCCTCGCTAGTCTCCAGGTACAGGCCTTGGTTCTTACTTCAGTTACCTCTGAAGTGGTTATTGCTTTTCAAGGTAAGCACCACACTGCTGTAGAACAGACGGAACTCAGCACTGGGAGCAGCAGTGTTCTGGCAGCAGCTTCTGATACATGCCAGAAAAGCAGTGATTTATGCTTATCCCTGAGAACAGGTCTTCTGCTTAAGACCGAAACAGCCTCAAGTTGCACCAGGGGAGGATTAGATATTCAGAAAAATTTCTTCACCGAAAGTGTTATCAAGCGCTGGAACAGGCTGCCCAGGGAAGTGATTGAGTCATCAGCCCTGGAGGTATTTAAAAGGTATGTGGACATGGCACTTAAGGACACGGTTTAGTGGTGGACTTGACAGTGTTAGATTTACGGTTGGACTTGATGATCTTAAAGGTCTTTTCCAAGCTAAATGATTTCATGAGTCTATGAATGAAGGAATTGATAAAGATGAACTATAGAACCTCAAACTTATTTCAGCAACACTGATCTTAAGCATGACACACATAAGCAGTCTAGATATTCTGAAGGATAATCATTAATAAAGCATCACTTCTGAGCCACCTGTTGCAGCATACCTACCTGCCCACAGAATTTATCACCTTCTTTTAAGCATACTCCAAAAGTCTCAGCTCGTCAAAATGCCAGAATGACTCGCAGCATTTAGAGGACACTCAGCTCTTACCGAGCCTCACAAGCTGGTGCCAACACATGCTAGTGTAAGGTGCTAGGCTACTGCATTCTCACACAGGGGTAAAACAGTCTTACGATTGAAGGCCAGGCCAGAGTCAGGAGACTAGCCAAGCCTCTGCTAGGCTCTTGGAAAAATTCAGGCAAGCCACATTCTCTGTTTCAGGCCATTTCACTGGAAAAGTTAGTAACTACCTAGAAATGCTGGGAGAGCAGCAGGCCTGCTAAGAGCCTAGGCTAAGCACGTAGCTCCCAGCAGACCAGCTGGCACAACTAACCTACTTACTGCTCAGCGCTAGCTGGGTATTGCTAGCAAGTGCTCCACGTGCAGCTGCCCCCCAGCACCCTCTCGTCCTGTGCAAAACCTAGAGAAGACTTTTTTTTGCAGGGTTGACCACCTAAACTATTCCTTTTGATTATTTTAAGTCATGCTCTGAAAATAACTTGACATCAATGCTTTCAAAGTTCTCATGAGGTTAGACATGACACTAAACCACCACTGCCAAACTTCTGTGCCAACTGACTGATACTGTTACATCCTCTAAATCACCCGTATCCATCTAGGATACAAACCTACCATCTTAGCATGAAGCGTAAGCACATTATTACACTGACTCACCACGACAGCTTAAATGAATTTACTTGATTAAAATAGCATGTCTCCATAAATAATCAATACTACTCTTCAAAGTCTGCCTCAATAAAATTACTGTATTTATCTGATGTGGTACATCAAAATGATATCATCTACTGAAATACAAGCGAACTAAAGTGGTTGCAATGAAACAGCAAAAAGAAATGGTGACTTTGCCCAAAAAAGAAGGTAGCCTTAAGTCTGTACCGAACTATATGCCAAAGACAGACAGACATATATGTTGTAACAACCTTATAGAGTCTAGAGGGAAAGCAAAAAGTCTAGACAACATACAGTTGATTTGGAGTAACATTCATTGATAGCTTTAGAAAAAGTCACAGAAGAACACAGGGACCCACTTACTAGACTGATGTCTCTACACTGCAGAAGACTGTTTTTAACTGCTTTCTGATGCATCTTTTATCTTTCATCTACATCTGCAGGCTTATTTTCTGACAAAAACTGTTTTGAAGACATCTGAAATGAAGGTGACAGCACCCGATACAATTATAACAAAGAGTTCTGCCTTTACTTTCACTTCAAGTCATGATGGTCCATCAATTATTTCCCAGCCATTTGGCAGCAGACCACCAGGCAGAACATTTTTCATCTGCTAAAACCCACAAATCCAGCATCCAGACGTTCTCAGAGAGCTGAAGAACTTCACACTCTTGAATTGGAAATTGCAGAAAATAGCAGTGTCAGCAAGCGGCGCAAGCCAAACCTTTTCTTTGGTGCTTCAGAGGATTTGATTTTTTCCTGCAGGAATGAAAAATAGTAATTTCATGATTATGACCAA